GCTGAAAATAATACTGTTTGTAAAAGCTCCTTGTAGCTCCAGCCTCCTCTTTACTTACAAAACAAAAATGACCACCGACATTTCACCTGTAATGCGTATGTTAAAGTTACATAAATTTAGTGGAAATATTAAATACCCCCCTGGTCGACAATGGGATAACGTTCTATTATATTGATTGAAATCGTATTCCATGCTTTTGATATTCAGTTTAATAGTACTAGCTAGCTGGCCCTCTCAGCCCAGCCAAATAATTTTATCCGATAGATACATAAATTTTCTACAAGATTGGTTGGTTTTCAGAAGTCCTTTTTATTGCATTCTTTACATAAATGGTGTAAAACAAAAACAACATAAAACGAATGTGACGAGTTGTTGATGGCGCTGCCAGACTCGTGCAATTCGTAGTTGCTACGGGGTGCCACAAAAAAAAATTCTGCAAAAAATAAGAAGAAGAAATATTTTCCACAAAAAGGAAGAGGAAGAAGAACAATTTTCCACAAAAAGGAAGAAGAAGAAACCCCTGTGCGAAAATTTGTCCGCAGTATTTTCTTTGCGCTAAATTAAGTTTGGCGGTCATTTTGAAAAGTATCTTAATGTATTGAAACAAAAAATATATTAGACTTAATTTGATTTGTAGGTGCTGTGCTGTCCAGTGTGACTGGAACCTCAGAAATATACAAAAATATACCGTAATTAAATTTGCTAACTCCGAGTTGGATGAGTTGACCATCTCTAGAATAAATATACTTTTATATACCGTAAAATGACTTCAAAATATCCCGAAAAGTATGTAATATACCGATGTTTTACTTGGAACTATCGCAGCCAGGCAATAATAGCGTAACATTGCCACTCCTGTGGAAAAAGGTGTTAAGTGGTGCCAGACTATCTGTATATTTGAATATCCACAGTTTTATTAATTGATATGTTAAGAATCGATTTATTGTCTGCTTATAGGTAATGAAATTAATTTAATCTAACTTCCAATTAATTTAAAATGTATATGTTAATAAGTCTAACATTCAAGTCAATACAGAAAACGCGATGCATCAAGTTTGACCGCCAAAAGTATCCAGCAAAGGTCTGAGCCCGAGTGTGTCTGCAGAGCGAGGTCTTTAGTTGGCTGCCAAGCCAGCAATTTAAGGTCGAGCTAGACCCATTTTCCGACTTCCCTCTGGTTGCATATCAAACAGTGTGGTTGCTGGCGGTGAGGGGGTGTGCAGGTAGTTCTGCATGGCGTTTTGTCGTTGTCATTGTACGAAATGTTTTGACGGCTTTATTCAATTTTCAGCATTGAACTTTGCACACGCGATCTCTAAGGCTTCCATTTCCAGCTGACCGTCAAACTGAACTCAATTCAAAACGAGCACCATTCGAAATTCTGACATATCCGTGAACTTCCAAAACTACACTAACATAAATGCAAATTCACATCTCAACTTTAAATCATTTTACGCCATTCCTTGCCCTATGCACATAATGTAGGTACTTAATATTTACTTCCTTTTCGTGTATTGGGTTCCAGTGACAGCTGTTCAAACATTCACCCCAGACCCACATGACTGAGGGACAAATAACCCTCCACATGGCTTCACTGCTGCCCTGACATATTTTTGTTTTCGTAGTACCCATATTAGATCCTTGGTAAGGACATTTGGTGTTCGGCTTGTCTAGGATAAAATTGTCTTTTTTTTTTGTTTCCTACTTTGAGCTTGTTTTTCTGGGTTTTATTTTGGTGTGTGCGCTTTGTGCTCTCCGTTTAGTGGGCATTGTGCTGTGCCGCCTGCTTCCTTTCTCTCACTCTGTCGGCAATGATAATGGCATACGCATCCCTTTGACACGCCACTCGTAGAACTGGGGAGATGGGGAAAGAATAGAAGCAGCAGTAGCAGCAGCAAGGACTTGCCCTAGCTCTGGCCATATGTTCTCCACGGGCCTCCCCCCGGATACCCTTGCCAGTGACCTCAATAATAATTTCGTCTAATTGCTTCGTAATTATGCCGCGCACATGGTTTTCTTGATTCGCCCGCTGTTGGTAATTCACTTCGCCACTCGCCGCCACCACAGCACCACCACCACCACCATCACTAGCTTCCTATCACAATCCCCTTTGCCCTTCCCTATCTCCGGTCGTGCGTGCTCTCCTTGGTTGGCCGAGGAGGATGGAATGTGCTTGCTGTGTTGCTGTTGCTGTTGCCTTGGGCGGTGCACGTGGTGCGGTGGTGCTGCTGCCCAGAGTCCGGACTCCGGGCCGACCCGAGGCGGCCATTTTGGCATGCTATTATTTGTCTCTTTTGTTTTGCGCAATTTTTCGTCATTTGCTTCATTTTCTGTCATTAGAAGCATTTAACTTTTTGCTGTTTTGCCTCTTTCCGATTTGCTTTCATTATTCATGCGGCGTTGGCTCGCTTGGCTACTGCCACGGCCACGATTTCAGGCAGTCACTCTATTACCAACAGCGCCCTGGGTCCGGGCGAATAGACTCACGTTTATGGTTATGGCAGTCATGTCTGGTCGTATTCGTTTTGCACGAATCACTACAAAAGTTTTCAAAGTTTAAAAATATATAATATGTACATATGTATGTATGTAAGGCATGCACCTTTAATTCCAGACCCTGACTGGCTGTATTTTGGAATCTTTCGCTCGACAGTAATCAATTTATTTCCAATTCTCCATCCTCAACTATTGAATTCAGCCGTCACATTCATTAAGGGTTCTGCTCTCAGTCTCTGGGCCGCGTATATTCGGAGCTAAGCAGCGTATCAATGTGTGTCAATGGGTTGTTGGCTTCAATTGAATTCACATGCCTGCTTGGGACCCGGCCAAGGACCACTGGCTGAGTCTACTTTTATCCCATTCAGGTGTGTGCACCGCACATGTCAAGTCATTTAATTCGTATCCATCACATTTTTAATGACAACTAAATGCGAATGTCATTTGGAGTGGTACGGAACGGGACGGGACCCATTCGTTCCCCTCTCACAGCATATAGCTGCTGCTGATTCACATATGTAAGAATATATATACATATATGCACATATGAATATATATATGCACTGCCTGCTGATGGAGTGGGGTCGGTGTCAACTGCGTGTCTCGGTGTCTCGCTCCTTGGGCACAAGTACGTCTAATGCGAAAAACTTTTAATTGAGTTTAAAATTGTATGAAGAAAGCAAAAGGACGAACAGAAGGACCTTTGGCAATCGGCAACCATACATAATTATGCTCCAGTGTGTGCGTATATGTACGCAGTTTTCCGAAGTGTGTCGGTTTCAATCTCGGTAAATTGCCCATGAAATATTAACTTTACCATAATGAGACGCCATTTTTATGCCTCCCAATTTGGCCAACGAAATGTGGCAGGGATGCGAGCGAGTGTGTGCCCCTCTCCAACCCCTTTTCCGGCCCGACCCTTATAAATGGTCGGTTTTATGTCTTTAGCCTTCAGCTGGATAACATTAATGCACCTGTCCCCATATAATCCAATAAAAACCAAAAAGAAGAGAGAGAGAGAGTGAGTGAAAAAGTGGCATAATCCTTCTTATTCAGCGGTCAAGCACCGTACATAAAGGACCAAATCTTTGACCCAATTATGGCCACGGAATTGTGACACATTGAGGCCTTCTGCTTCTGCTGCCGCTTCCGTCCGCTACTTTGCCCTTTCCTCTCACTTTACCCAATTTCGATGGCTATCTGGCTTCGAATGAAAAATGACTCAATTTGCAATGGCTGACGCCCACTGGCCCTCCCATCCCGCCACCACACCCTACCGAAACACTTGCTCGTTGGCGCCGTCATTACTTTTGCAACGGTAAAAGTCCAACCTTTAATAAGAAATAATTCCTTTGCGCTGCGATAGTTAGTGGAACATGACTCGGCTTAAAGGAACCATTTCTTGCCATTCTGCACGGACAATGGGAAGGTACAACAATGGGGGGCAGACAGCTGGTACAGCTGCCACCAAAAACTAATAAACTGACGGCAGATATGTAGGATTGGAAGCATATTAATAGCGCTACAGTCGAGAGTAATCTACAAGTTAACTAAAATTATACCAATGCCGATCAGAATGTTGTATGTATGTATGTATGTATAGTGGAGCTGCAATTTATTATTCCTACACGATTTGTCTAAATGTTAAAAGTTGTGTCTTAGTTTTGAGTGTTTGTGTCTTGGATAAACCCGGAGGTAGGGCAAAGAAATTGATCTTGAAATCATAAAACAACAAGAACAGCCACTGGTGACTTTACCCAGATCGCTCTTTTTTATGTCCAATATCTAAATAAATAATGTTAGCTATTTTAAGATTTATTTAAGGGTCGCGGTGGCCCGGTCTGGCCAGGGTAGCAGTGTGCCCTGGGTTCATAGGTCCTAAAATAACTACACATTGCACGTTTAATGTCATTTAAAACGGCAATTACTCAGCACGCTCGCCGGCTCTGTCTGCGGAACCGCAACAGAATAATAGGAACCGAGTGAGACCGACCCCCCAATGCCCAGGCACACAGCAGACCCTAGAGCGAGGCTAGAGCGAGGCGCTTGCCGTTGCACTTGACTGTGCCTTCGGTTTCGCTTTAATGTCACTGCATGGCCGCAATTATTCAGCAAGCACTTCGCCTCTGATTCGCCGCATGCGATTCTTATGCAAATGGAGGCAGGCAGACCCGGGCAGGCGACCCTTCCGGTGCCATAAATCGACGGCTCTGGCCTGTGGCTGTGGCCCGGCCCAGTCTTATATTCTAATTAAAAAGGCACATGGAAATGCACAGCACAGAAGGAATCCATATCCAAATCCAAACACGTACTGGGTACATGCAGATCACGTGCCGCCCACAAGTAGGTCCTATCCTCCAGGTCCAGTAGGATTGCACAAAACGAATTATGAAATGGCTGAGCTGAGATATAACCCTGAGGGATGGGCTGCTGTGCACCTGAAGTGACATTTAACAAAGCTCTCTCTATCTCTCGTCTTGGTGTTTCTTGGTGTTTCTTGGTGATGCATTTGCAGAGTACATTTAATTACAATTTTAATTCGTTTGGGGAATATGCAAAACTGCGTTTTGGCATCCTGGAATCAATGCGCTTTGCCCTTGGACCTGACCTTCTTCGAGCGAATGTAGGTGTTTATGTAGAATTTGGTGAACATCACGAACATGAACGCAGACATGACGCAGATCAGGTAGATGACGCCCCGCGCTGCATTGCAGTCGGGCTGGAAGTAGGTGTAGGCGCAGTGCAGGAACATCATCAGGAACTGGACCAGCTGCGTGAGGGTCAGGTACTTCTTCCACCAGAGACTCTCCTGCAGATTGGGGCTCTGGGATGAGGCATAGTAGTAGCCATACATCATGATATGCACCAGCACATTGAACATGCAGATGAAGTAGACATGGCCGCCATGGCCATAGAATCGGATCAGAATGTGCGTTGTCACGGCCATGAACACGTGATGGAAGACGTGCAGGAAGGTGATCTGCCGCTGCTTCTTGCGCAGCACAAAGAATACAGTGTCCATCAGATCGAGCAGTTTGTTGAGGTGATACAGATAGGACAGGGTACGCTCCGTTGTCTTCAATGGGTGATCCTGCGGCAGGACGGTCATACAGCTCAGCTGGTATGGCTTGTCCACGAATATCAAATGGAGGCCCTGGTCGGTGGAAAACAAAAAATGTTCCAGTTACTGCCAAAGCAATAGATTATGGGACAGCTTACCCATATTAGCATCAACGTGTTGTAGAGGACCTGGACGATGTTGTAGACCTTAAGCACCCCACGCAGCTGCAGTGCCTCATACCTTGCCATGAACTGCCCGCCCAGCTTCAGGACAAACAGAAGATAGAGGCCGATAATGGTCGTCAGGGGCCAGGCACTGTTGAGCAACGGCAGCGGCACAGGATCCGCGTAGGGTTTGTCAAAGACCTCGAACATTTCCGTGCCGTGCTTAAGGTTGTCCGCCAGAGACTAGTCACAGAAATTTACCTTTTGCTTTATAGTGTTCGGAATTGATGGGTTGCGTTCCTCATGGATAAGTGCATGCAAATTGTGTGGTAATGGGCCGTATGGAAATCCGATTGCCTTCCACCGTTTCAGCAATGCACACGAAAAATGGAAATCGACTTCAAAGCCTCGCTAACTATCGTTAAATCAACATATTACCCTTACATATGTACTGCATAGTCGGCGAGACTATACATATATCAAATATACATATGTACGTTGCAAAAATTTAAAAGAAAATGTACCCGAATGCACCTATTTAACCCCACCAGATACCAATAATTTTAAGAATATTTTTACGACCAAACCAAAATAGTACTACGAAATATACGAATTCTGACAGCATTATTTAAGCTAGAGAGATGAGACATAAATACACAATAACTGTAGCGCGTACAAGTGTGAAATAATTGAAAGAAAATGTTTGTGTTTATATGGATCCGAAGATATTCAGTCTTGAAAGGATTTGTAGTTTTGTGGTTTATTGAAACATTTAATTCGCTTAACAGATATGTGAATAATACTCCAAACAGCAATCATTGCACCTTTCGCTTGGACGTCGGCTTCTTCTGGGGCAGGATGTAGGCCCTGACGTAGAAATTGGTGAACAGAATGATGAATGTTACGGCGACCAGGCCGCCATAAACTGGTATCGCGCGGGATGCAATGCAGTCGGCCTGACGTAGCGTGTAGATGCAGTGAACGAGTATGATGAAGAACTGCGTGAGCTGCACGATGGTGATGTACTTTTTAAACCAGATATTTGCCTGGGCATCCTTGCGTATGGATGATATGTAGTAGTAGGTGTACATGGCAACGTGCACGGCGACGTTGAAGAAGCAGAGGAAGAAGCCATGGCCGCCGTGTCCATGGAAACGGATGTACAGGAAGCAGAAGTATGGCATGAAGGCGTGATGGAAGATGTGCAGGAATGATAAATGGCGATCCTTCTTGCGCAGCACGAAGAAGATGGTGTCCAGCAGATCCAGGAACTTGTTCAGAAAATACACGTAGGTTAGCCAGCGCTCTGTGTTTTTCCACTCGTGATCCAATGGCAGATTGGCAATGCATCTGAGGTCGTAGGCGTTCAGCATAAAATAGACGCTCTGTGAGGACACGCAGAAACATTGGAGTGTGTCAAAGATCTGGCTGGATCACTTACGCCCACAAGCATTATGCCGTTGTACAGGATCTGGACAATGTTGTAGACCTTGATCACGCCGCGCAGATCGAAAGGCTCTCGCTTCTCCATTAGCTTTCTGCCCACCTTCAGCACAAACAGCAGGTAGGCTGCAAGTATGATCAAGGTGGGCCAGTGGCTGTCCAAAAGTGGCGCCTGAAAGGGATCAGCCGGTGGAGCGTTCAAGACATCAAACATTGCGAACATTTTGATGCACCCTGGCTGTTGGCGCTTTTGCGACTAATCAATGCTCGGCCCCGTAGTGCTCGACAATGCATCTTGTATTTACAATTTTAATTGAAGCATTTTAGCACTTGGGTTCGACTCGTTGCACTGGGCTGCCGCGACCAAGTCCCAAATGTACGTACTTATGCAGAAGGCCTCCACGTGCGCTTTGCATGTGTGGGCTTGATGGGATCAATATATACATACCAATAAAGCGCGAATTCCTGGGCTCGTTCGTTCGTACGTAACTTTAAACATGATTATGGGAATTCCATTAAAAGTTTAATACGCGCTTGGGCTGCGGCTGGGGCTGCGGCTGGGGACTGGGGCTGTGAAAATGTTTGAAAATCACGCACACGCAAAAATAGGGAGGGGTGGAGTGTGCCCTGGGAAATTGGATGGGGTGGGGTGGGGTGTGGTGGTATGGGGTAGTACGGGAGTGAGCTGTTGACGCTGAAACGGTTCTAGTCAAAACGGATGCGGAAATGGGATGTAAATAAGGACCGCCATTGCACGCACATCCTGCACAACAAACTGCAAAAGCCAGCGAATTCACGGACTAAACATTTCGATGCATTGCATACAGAATTATGTACAGACATAATACCGTGCCAGCTAGCTAACAGATCATAATTAAACAAATGCGATATGTGTGCATACGTTACCCGTATTTGTATTTGCCTCTGTTTAAAGGGAACAGACCGCTCTCCGAGGTCTTAGATCGCCGTATACTCTGCGCCATTTGGAAACAAATTCTGCATCAGGTATGTACGTTGATTTCTTAGCAGTTGGCACCTCCAAACTGCAGCTGGTCCCTACTTTTGGTTTTAGTGACGAAATTATAATTTGCAGCAGATACTCGTACCTGGTTGGCTAACTTAAATGAAATACAATGCGAACATGAATTTTAAGTAAAGCCAAAATGTATTGCGGCTTCTTCGTATGCTCTCAATGTTCGTTCTGTTCTGCTCATTCCCAATGCCGTTCATGGGCTTCCTCCATTAGCAGTCGTTGCCAAATTGCTCAACTTTTTAAGTGCTTAGATTTGCATTGGGAGTTTTTCTGGGGCAAGTGGGATGGTAGGGTCTGGTCTGGGTAGGGTTTGCCCATCAAACAGGGCTTGGCAAGCGCATCTCTGTTCGTATCTCCATCTGTATCTGTGGCCGTACATGCAGCTGCAGCTCTCCGTAGGCGACCTTTGGTGTTGGGACTCTGGTTTTGTCGCTGGTTTAGTCCCCGACTCGTCTTCGCATTAACGCCATTAGGCCAATTTGGCACTGTGCCCTGACCCCGAAAGGCGCACGGAGAACTTTCCCAAACAAAGGTAACAAACTATGGCCACGATGCCGCTGCTGCTGCTGCTGCTGCCATAGTTTTTCTCCATTCCGCTCCACGCCACGGCACTCGCATGCCAATGCACGTGTAAATAAAAGTCAAGTGGGAAAAACAAATAAATTAGAGTCGCATCCTCTTCTTGTTGGTCGCCGCTGGCTGGCAACAAACATTCCTCTTCGTTATTGCGCGACTGGCTTTAATTACGACACCAGGCAGAGGGGGGCAGGAGGAGCAGCTGCAGCTGCATCCCAACCAAGGCACCGACTGTTGCCTCCGGGCTGGCTCAGCATGTTCAATTTATGTTTATTTGAAAGCTGTTGCACTTGACTAATGTTCTGTATGCCGGGGACATCCTCTCCGAGCTCTGGCGCTGACCAGCAGCATCGTGGCGTGTGGCTGGAGTGGCGACTCCTCATGGCACTCGCTTGTTGCTTGATCTAAACGAAGGCGCACGGCTTAAGCCGTGGCTTATGTTAAATCTCAGAGGAAAGTAAATAATATTTACCCAAGGCAGGTTTCCTGTTCCTTTACCCTCACCTCTACCTCTGGGATGAGTCAATCGATAGCGAAATCGATCCATAGACCAGTCATCAAACCTTCGTCATTGGGAGCACCATCCAAACTAAATTAGATTGTAATGGACGGCGCATTTGATTTATTAGTTTTCTCATTAAACAAATTGTCCAACAATACAAGCCAAGAGCCACGGGTGTGTGTGTGTGTGTGTCTCAATATTCTTACGCTTATTTATGTAGATTGATGGTCATTTCATTCGTGTAAACACATCCATTGACGCAAATTTGAATAAACATTTTCATTAGCAAAATGTCCATGAGTCCCATGAGAGACAGTGCCAGTCGGGATATCCATCCTGTCCTTCGTATGATGGCCTGTGCCTATGCCTGTGCAGCACTAGCAATCACTTGGATTCAATTGTTTTTTGACTCGACTTGGCCGCTGAGCTTGTCCGAACATTTGGGTTTTTATTGGCTTTGGTTATGTACGCTACCGTCCGCAGTGACAATTATTTTCTCTGAATTTTCTAGCCAGGCACAAATGGTAATTGGCCATAATCATTCGATAATGATCAGGTGGCGTTTCTAATTGCCGTGCTCCATTAGGAGTGCAAAGGGCACCAGCTCATTGACCTTTGTTCACTCTCAAAATGGTTCGCGGAAACGTTTCTACGAATATGCATACATATATTATCTGGGTTCCGACCTTGTTTTAGGGACATTTTACAACACTGTCGCACATCAAACATGGCTGACATAAATAAAACACAACGCACAACTGTATATCCACGAGCAAGCCATTAAAATGGCAAATATAATATGGAGCCTAGCTCCGAAGGCTGAGGAAATTCGAGTTCAAGGGGATCGGCGGCCAAAGGTCATGTTAATTCGTGCTTATTGTGGTTGCGAGTGTTGGCTTGTTTTTGTTCGCTTTCCAACACTGAAGACCCAAGCCACAAAAATAAAAAGACAAAGCTTAAATTCATAAATTTAGATGTGCTATTAGCAGATCTTGTGTTGTTCACCCTGCGCTCGCTGGGCATGGGGTCCAGCCGTTAAGTGTGCTCAAAGCTGAAACTTTTGAAATCTATAGGTAGTATCGTCAAACCAGTTGCCACGTGTTTATCTGTTTTGTTATGACGCAGACTGCAGATGCAGACCCAACACACCCAACAACACACGCTCTGCAGCAAAACAAAAGCTTGGTCCAGCATCGTAATTTTGATGGGAAGGAGCGCATCTCTACATTAAACTATCTGGGCTCACCACCGGACGATTCGCAGCCTCGGAATTATTGTTGTTGGGCGGCTTGCACCGGGAAACTGGAGCAGTGCCCATGACTGCAATGTGCAACTTGTGCTTGCCCAAAAAATATAACTTTAACCTTTTTTGTAGTTCATATATGACATTCACTAGGCCCTTCCTTCCGCAACTTCATGGCTCTCATCATGGCCCACCAGTCCTGTGCGACCAGATGCATGGATACCGCTTAGTCGACGCTATACAGCCGCACAGCCGTATTCTACACCTATGAAAGACTTTTCGAAATAAACAAACTATTTCAAACGTATTTCGTTGTATAATTTTTGTTTTAATGCTAGATATAGTAGAAAAATAAGCGTAGTTACAATATCTTTGAAATATTTGATTAGACCATCACATTTCTGCTATTCGGGCAGTCCAAAGTCAGCCCATGAACAGTTTGTGTCTCTCATTATGTCATCCAGCAGATCGACATTGTGTTGGAAAGCCAAAAAGTCTTCATCCATGATTTCGGGAATATCCCAATAGTTGTCATCGGTCTCAAAGGGCACTGCCATTTTGGAGCTACTGTCGGCGGCGAGCACGCTGCTGGCGAACTGGAAGCGAATCTTGTGAAAGAGCGAAACTTGCTGATCCTTTTGCAACCTGGCGTTCATCATGGCCGCCTGGAAGGTGGGATCCATGGGCGCATCTGGCTGGCGCACACTGGCCACGATGGCTGCCATTACGCGATGGGTGCTGATCGGATGCTGGATGCCCTCCAGTCCATTGCTGGTCCAAATATTCTCGCAACGGGTGCAGAGGCCAGCTACAAAATTGGTAACTCGATTGATGCACATCTCGCATTTGATCACTGCAAAAAGGGGATCTTTATCCATTTCGCTTGCTGCTGCTTGAACTGGAAACTGGCAATTATTTTCCGGCTTTGGATGCTTTCAAAAGTGAGCAAACGGTTCAAGTTAAATTCCACGTGCTTTGCGGCAGAAGAAGAATTTTTGACATTCTTCAAAGCGTTTACGCACACTGTTTCTAGTATGGCCATTCTTCGTAAGCATTCTCAGCGCTGTCGTTGTTAGCACTGGTTCCCAGTACAGTTTCTTCTACTTGCACGCTTGTGCTTTTGCGAGTAAAATTTCATAGAAAGTGTAAAGTGAAACCTATTCAATTTGAAGAGCATTTCTTAGCAAGATGACTACGCAGCCTGTGCCACCATTAATGCAGGCAAGTTCCCTGATGTTTACAGCTTTGCCTCAACAATTGTAGTGACGCTTACATATTTGTTTTGGACACAAAAAGAACCCCATAGATGCGATGGAAGTGGATGAACCACCGAACGAGCAGAATGGTAACAACGAGGAGCGGCAGCTTGTGGTGGAGGAGCAGCAGCTTGTGGTGGAGAACCCCAGCATCGATCTGGAGATGTATGCCCAGCAATACAATGGCATAGCACGCCTCTATCGGCTGGTGTACGTGGCCGATGTTTGCCCCATTCTGGCCGTGGAGGCGCTCAAAATGGCCATCGCATATGCACAGACCACGTGCAACTTTAATGAGTACCAGTTTCTGCACAAGCGTTTGAGCGACCTGAACGCTCGCACTGCCCCAGCTCCGACTGCAGATCCGGCTGCAGTGCCAGACATGGCTGCCGTGCCGGCTGAGGAGGACGATTCGCTCGCGTATGATGCTGTTTGGGTGGACACCACAACGCGCAAGTCTGCCCACAAGCTGGAGATGCTTGAATTGCAGCTGAGGACCTACAAGTCGAACACGTTCAAGGATATCATTCGGAGCAGCCACGTTGACTTGGCCGCACAATATCTGAGCTGCGGGGATCTGGCCAATGCCATGAAATACTACTCACGGGACCGTGACTACTGCGACACGGGCGAGCATGTGGTGGAGATGTACCTGAATTTGATTAAGGTCTCCATTTACATGAAGAACTGGCTCCATGTCATCACCTACAAAGAGAAGGCTGAGAGCACGCCGGACTTTGCCAAGGCATCCAAGGAGGCGATCGGTAAGATCAAGATCCACACACACCTCGAGTGTGCCGCCGGCCTGGCCCAAATGCAGCAAACGAAATACAAGGTGGCTGCCCAGCACTTCCTGAACGCCAACTATGACCATGGCCAGTTTCCCGAAATGATCTCCGCCAACAATGTGGCTGTCTATGGCGGCCTGTGCGCCCTTGCCACCTTCGACAGGCCGGAGCTGAAGGACCTGGTGATTGGCTCTACATCGTTCAAGCCGTTCCTCGAGGTGGAGCCGCAGTTGCGCGACATTATTATCCAGTTCCACGAGAGCAAGTACGCCTCGGTCCTCAAGCAGCTCGATGAGATTCGTGACAACTATCTCGTGGACATGTACACGGCACCGCATGTGGACACGCTCTACACCCAAATTCGCAAGCGCGCCATGATCCAGTACTTCAGTCCCTATATGTCGGCGGACATGCACAAAATGGCCATGGCCTTCAACTCCTCGGTGGGCGATCTGGAGAACGAGGTGATGCAGCTGATTCTCGATGGCCATATCCAGGCGCGCATCGATTCGCAAAAGAAGATCCTCTACGCCAAGCAGGCCGATCAGCGCAGTAGCGTTTGGGAGCGTGCCCTGGTCCTGAGCAAGAAGTACCAGCGCCAGACGCGCATGCTCATCCTGCGTGCGGCTATGCTCAAAAGCCGCGTCGTCGTGACGGCCGATAGCGATGCCCGCGACCAGGCTCCACCACGACGCCCCAATTGAATCCATAAACTCTTTGAATTATACTCATTGCACCACAATTATCCATCCTTGTGTTGAGAACCAATAAATCATCTACTTAGTGCCTCCCAAAGATCGGGTTGGAAATTCATTTAATTTGTTAAATTGAAATTATGGTAATATCCTGCAGTCATGTAAGCCATTCCATGCTGTTCGTGTCTGGCCCGAAGCCGATGACGGTGGCAGCTTGCCCACCTAGTTGGCTGTTAGCTAACCAAGAGTCAGGTTCATAAATTTCAAGCAAAACATAGTGGGTGGCCGCCGCACTCACCGCCGCTTCAACGGCTGGTGGGGAAATGTTTTCCAATTTGAAGGTTAGCGCCAGCTAATCGATAGCTCTCCATGGAAATGATGAGAGTGTTGATTTATGGCATTCCAGGCGCAATTATGCCCCGCCGCGGCTGCGGGACCTCACAAAAGTCGCACATTTATGTGTTCAATTGAAGTGGCGACTGCCACACTGCTAGACAGAGACGAAGAGACAAAAGTCGTCCGAGTGGGGGATAAATGGAGCACGGTGGGATATCGAAAAAACGCCCATGGCACATTGGCAACTTGTTAAGCTCGTTATTCTCACAATTGCTGCTCCAAGTGAAGCGTTTCCCGACCCTGTCGTCTCCCTTTCTCACCACAATCCGCTCCATCAACTGCTGCTCATCAATCGCATTTGAGGTGGCGTTGTGTTACCTGTTGAGGGATGCGTGGCCTGCGGTTCTGTGGGCTGTGTCCTTGTTCCGATTTGAGCTCGCACAAAGCTGTGTGGATTCTGGGGACGGGTTTCCGGTATGAGAGGGCCGCTTCCTGCTCAACTAATCGATCCAGGATCAACTTGGCCTTATGGTTATGACATCGTTGGGGCCCACACCCCTACCCAACCCCATTCATTCCCATTTGACTGGCTTCCGCACTAACCAACGTCGGTCCACACTTATCCACTCATGGGGGGTATATCAGTCGCACAGAGGGCGACCGCAGAGCCAAGCCAACTAAGTTTTGGGATGTGCCAGGCAAACAACTTGGATCGCAAAAGCCAAAGCCTCCACTCCGCACCAAAACCACGGCAATTTCTTTTGGGTATTCGAGTTGGGGACTCAGCGCACACACAACAAACGCACCAACTGTGGGAGGAGCTTGGCTGGAAAGCTTTGGCATGCAGATTGTGTTTGCCTGTGTTGCAGCTCAAGTGTAAACATAATCTGGGCGCAGCGATACACTGCGAGAATCTTGCCAGCTTACAATTGATTGACAGTCGGGCTTGTGACTAAGCTTGGAGGGATTAAAAAAGAGTCGAAAAACTATAAAAAAACGAACTAAAATATTCCATGCACTCCCATTGTGTAGTTCCATTGCAAATATGTGTAGAAATACTCAAATTAACCGATTAAGATGCAGTCTCTTCCCTCAGGGTTAGTATTTCAACTTCTCCGTTTGCTTTAGTTTTATTTAAACTTTTAAAGATTACTGCTTGATATTTCTTGCAGTGTATGTCACTATCTTACATGCTATGTCGACTCCCCTGTGCCTGTTCTGTGTTCCTGTGTGTGTGTGTGTCCATGCGTTGGCTTTGGCAGCCGCCATCAGCGCGAAGGATGCCTTTGATTTAATTTCACTTCATTTCATTTCATTTTGTTGTCGGTGGAGGCAAACTCGTGACTGCGTCGATACATAACGGGCCCCGCTTCAGCCGCACCTCTTACCTTTAGCAGCGGCCCCAACCTGCCACAAGCCGCACTTTCCCTACTCATACCTACACACAGAGGACAGGACCAAAACCCAGCGGCCTGGAATGACGGACGATGGTTGGAGATAATTTTTGCTGTTCGGCTTCTTGATGGGTATGGCAAAAATGCTGGGATTTGTGTAATTTACTTCATCGAATATTAAACAAGGCAAATGGCGACAGAAACGTAGGTCTGACTGAACCACTTCCCACTGACTTGGGAAAGGCGGAAAAGGAAGGTTCCACTTTCCAGGATACTTACTTGATTTCATTCCAACGAAATCGAATTTTGTTCTTTGTTTTTTTTTTTTGGTTTGTTTCTTTTTAATTTCCTTCAATAATATGTATGTCTCGTTTATTATTCAATATGCGTTCTAGTTCTATTATTTTCGATTATTTCTCTCGTCATTATATTCTCGTATGTATAAATAAATGTTCATTGTTCAATGCGGGTCTCGTCCTCCGCTCTGAATGTTGGACAGGCTCGCCTCATCTTGATCGAATATATACGAGTATAAAACGAATTTCGCCACCACGGACCAAGCCAATTTGCGGTGTATAAAAAAACAATCATTGTGCAAATTTCAAATTCAAATTTTGCTCATAACAATCATAATAAATATAATAACAATAATAAAAGGAATTATTCGAATGTTATTGCATTATATCATTGTAACAACAAAACCAATCAACGAGCTGCCAGTGTCTGTTTTGGGGCGGGTGGGTGGTGATGTGTGTAAAAAATGGAAATACAATGTTTTGTCGCGGCGATTCTTCAGTTGGTTTCCTGTTTTGGTTACATCTTAGTTTAGTTTAGTTTAATTTATGTTTTATTTTCGTCTGGTTTGCCTTGCCTTGGTGTCTTAAAAAATGTATTAAAATTAGCTTAACTATCAAAATTATATGCACTCTGTTGTAGCTTCATTTGTTTCATTGAGTTTTATCCCCCTTTGAAAAGTTTTCCATTACCAATCACTAGTCAGCTTATATACATTTATTCTTACTATTGATGCTCTTTCCATTTTGTATTTGTGGTTGGTTTGTTTGGTTTTTGTTGCTTATGTTGCCTTAACTATGAACAGTTTGATATTACAAATATAATGCAATTATCCTTGATGCCATCGTTATCGTTATCGTTAGCCATAACCTTTGTCTTAAGTTTAGTGAGTGGCATTTACATGTATCTACATGAATATCAAAAAACTATGCAGTTTCCTCTAATTCCAACAATGTTCTGCAGCTTATATAAATAAATGTTAACATTCAATATCTCCTGCCTCGTACTCCCCATCCAAAGCCTCTGTATCTCAATGTGGAACAGAATAAGCGGTTTTTATTTTTTGTTTTGTTTTTGTTTTATGTAGTTACAAATTGGGCGCAGCGATTTTTAGTGATGGACTGATTGAGTGAATAGCAAAAGGTCAAATCGAAAGTTTCTCTTTCTTTTTCTTTTCCTTTTCGAAATTAAATATTGTCAAGCACAAATTTTGTGTGAGTGTGCGATCAGCCTCGAAACCAAAGATAACAGTAATAATAAACTGGATATACATACATACATATGTGTGATTATCGTGACATAACTAAATCCTACATTATGCATAGATACTGATGCGGAAACGTGGAAATCTCTTGCGGCATGTGATTTGGCGTGCTAGCTTACCGATTGATTGATTGATTGATTGATGGATGATTGCTTGAATCAAGAGTGAGAAGTAAATTGCTTTTCATAATTTTTGGGTTGTCCTCAACAACACACAATAATATCATATCATATCTCTTCATATATCATTCAAATGATCACAGTCAAAAAACTTGCATTATTCAATTAATCGCTAAACATTTTCGTTTCCTTTCACAAAGATGGTACTCCAAATAATTCAATTTTGGTTTTTATTAATAATAATTAACTGAAAAATTATACGGAATAACAATTTGACCAAATTCTCTTAACTTGGGGCACTTTGTGAAGGGCATTCGTCTAAGACGAACTTAATTCAAAATTCTACAACAAAAACCCTAAAACGCTGAATGCTAATTTTGTGGGCGGATCTCCTACATATACATCTATACATATATATGTATATAACTGAGGCGTGGCGTGTCTATTTCTGTGTGGAGCAATTAACCAAAGCATAAACTGTTTCTGCCGCTGGCCGAATTTCCTCTCAAAAATTTTACATCTGAATTTCCAATTAAATTTTGTTTGCCTATCTCGTTTTGCATTTATAGTGGATTTGGTTGCCTTTCCCGTGACAAGCTGAACATTTTTGTTGTGTGTGTGTGTTTCGTATTTGTTTTTATTACTAATGCATTACAAACTTATTCATTACCTATGCAAAATTGTACACTTATATTAATAATCTGGTTTTCAGTTTTCATTTTTGTTTTGTTTCTCATTCAGCGGTACAAAAATTATTCATTGCATTTGGTTTTTGTTTAGGTCGGTTTGGTTGCCTCTGTTTGCCATTGTTTTATATCCATAATGATTTCGGTTTTAACTAAATTTACACATTGCCTAATTTGCATTTTTTTTTAATTCGTACACACGGATACGGATTCGGCTACAATACAAAGACTCGTACACATATGCCAACACCTGCCCATGGCTTATAACTAGGTTTTCCGTTTCCGATTTCCGTTACCGATATAAACCATTACCAATTGGTTGCCACTTGGTTTGGTTTTGGTTTGGTTTCTCTCTCTCTCTCTCTCTATCTTCGTGTTCGTCGGCTTGGTTTAAAAATCATTTACTCGTATGCTAAAAAGTAACTAAATTTAATCAATCTTAGTAATTATTCAGTTGGATCAATTATGAATTTCTGTGTGTGTCGCGTTCATCTGATTCATTTCTGTTCTGCTAGTTTCACTAAAACCCTCTGATAGTTTCGGGCCGGGCGCCGTTCCTTTAGGTAGTGCTCTGTTGTTCCTTTGGCCGTAATCTATTCCTCGCCACTCCACTCCCCACCACTCCACTCCACTCCACTCTTCTCTGTTCGGATTTCGATTGGGGTTGACACTATGTTGGAAGAACAAAGAGATTATCCGTAGCTGGTTCCGCAGTTATTCGGTATTAGGTTCTGCTAGAAGTCGCTACTCGTTGATGGATTCCCTAAATTGCTCTCCACAGTGTCGTCCTTATGTCAGAGCGGCGGCTTGTAAACTTCAATAGCAGGCGTGAGCATGTCCACTCGCGTAGATATCGAAGTGTCACTGTAATCAAAACAAAAATATCCATGAGAACTAGCTAAAGTTAGTTAGTTAAATAAAGGTGTTGAAATACCATTCAGCTGCCCAAAAACTTCTACAAAATTTAAGACAACATCAGGGGAAATATGTTTAAAAATCACGCCAGTAAAGAGCAGAGAAAAAAAAGGAGCAAAACAGAGGTAAAGAAAAGCTGCCAGTTTTATCGCACCAGCTGCAGGGCACATTCCATCAGAGGAGGAGCTGTACAGCTGTCAACAGCATCCAGAAATATTGTACACACATTAAGCTTGTGCCACAACAAAGCTGTGCTGTCAAAAGTGCTTAAATATGTATGTACTATATGTACATATGTACTTGCAACGAAAACAAACCAGAAATAGCCACAATACCATAATGTCACATACTAATAGGTTTTATATATATATATTTTACTTGTGCACGTTTAATCCACTATCCACTATCCTTATCAAATCAACGACATTGTAGCCCATCCCATGCCTGCATTTATGCATATTTATATTTATACCATATTCCTTTCTATTTAAAGTGGCTTTCCTTTGTATTTACGTCGTTTATACTATCTGTGCTTCCATCTGCTGTACATTTATTTAATTATACTTCCCCTTATACTGTGCTCTGCCATAACATCCTATTCTATACATTTATATTGCATTTAATTCCATTGTCCACCCTTTCCATAGCTCAGATATTTTCGCATGCAGCTGATCCACCTGCACTACGCTTTCCTCAACGAAAAATACTTCCCTAGTCCTGATTTCATTTATTCGGTTCAATTGTTACATTTATTTATTACATACACACATATTTCCTTTTCTTTGTTCGCCCAATCTACGAGCACAACTACTTTCTGGTACTCCTGTGTGTTTTGCTTATTTTTGCGTCGCTCTTTCCGCCCATCCACATCCTCTTTTGATGAAACTCCTCTTCCTTTATCACAGACACCCACCGAATGGGAGCTGCCTTTCTCTTTGTTTGCTTGTTGCGGATTCGGTTTCGGTTTCGTATTGTAAATGAAATGGAATTAAATGAAATGTGAAATTTATTGTATTTAGGGGATTTTCATGCCACAAGCACTGCGGGTGGGATAGAGACAACGACAACGAAACAAAGCAAAGAAATCGCATTTTCGCTTACTATTTCAAATGTAATTTATACGCGTACTTATGGCCCCCACTGTGTTCGCTGGCTGTTCACTTTATTGGCACTCTACTTTAGTTTTATGTGTGTTTACTCTCTGCTCTCCACGATGATCGCATTCGACACTGTGCATAACACGAGTGAGAGTACTCGTAGTTTGCTGCACTTAGCCTCGAATATTAAATTAAATAAAAATCTCATTTTATTTCACGGAAGTTCTTCCAGCTGCCTCCTGCTCTGCCTCGGTTATATACTTATTTGCAGCATATAGTAGATTGCTTTTAATAAATCCCCAGCCTTGCATACTTAACTAGTTCATAGAGACAGAGAGAGAGAGAAGCGAAGAGTTCGAGATAGTTTGCAGGAACTTTGCTTCGGTGCAGAAATAAACAAAACAGGCAAAAGCTAAAGATATTCCTGAAAACTTTCGAGTGCTGGCAACCACTCCAAATGCGCTTAACTGAAATAATTAAAACGGGAAGCATTCGAAAAAAGTGCTACAAAATGTTATCCATCTCATCGATGCTTGAGTGCTTTTTAAGCAGAAATACTTGATTCAATTACTTCTGATATTCAGCATACTGTGCATAATTCCATATCCGTTCATCATATACGACATGTTAGTTGTATTTTGAAACCAGCTTAGCATTACAGAGAACTGAACAGAGTTCACAAAAATTTCCATAGATTTAAGACATGGAAATCCTTGGCAAAACAACTGCCAACTAAAAAACAACTTTTCCCATTGCCCCTCCAGTGGAAGTGCAGCAGTCCCTGGTGTAAATCCCATTATTCGGGGGATGACCACAGAACCCAATGCTGCACCCACTGTGCTGCATCTGTAAGGTGAGGCAAGAGCACGAAGAAGGATAACATCTGGCGTTGGCCATTCATCAGCATCAGGGTGGTCGCGAGTGGCAGAAGCAGAAGGGAGAACGGAATTGCATTAGGGGCGGAGAGAGGGGAATATGAAATGTCAGGACAGGATGCAAGGACACTGAAAAGTGTGCAAATTGTTGGCAAGCTGTTAAAACCATGTTCCAATTAAAAATGCAACAAATTCGAGCAAAAAAACAGAAGCTCTGTGTTCCGAACAGCAGCAACAGTTGCAGCTGCAACAGCAACAGCAATTGAAAGTACGAGTATTGTGCGCATAGACTCGTACATATATGTAGGATGGCAATGCAATTAAAAAGCTTTTTCAATTGCATTTAACATGAAATTAGTTTCAAGAGTCATAAAAACTATGAAAAGCGCGGCAAGTGCCTGCGGTTATCTGTCGGTTGCTTTGTGCCACTTTGTTGCAATTTTGTTTCCACAAGTACTCTCTCCTCTGTCCTCTGTTTGGTGGGTGTGCCATGTTCTATACGAATTGATTATTAAAATCAATGTTTTGTGTGTGTTCAGAAAAAAAAGGAACATGTTCGCAGCACTTGAAGTGAATAATTTTCTTTGGGTCCTTGGGGCGTGGCCTGCCGCAAGTTCCGCTCTCTATATTAATTACTAGTTCCTCAAAGTTCCTGACGTGCAGACCTGAACAGGAACTCATCGCGAACATTCCCCAAAGTTGTTCGAGTCAGTGCAGGTCTCCGTGAACTAAATCTACTGAAACTGACTTTGACAACAACTTTATGCAATTAACTGCCTCCCCTGCCCAGCCCAGCCCCGCTCTGGACCGGACCGGATCGGACCGGACCCCACCCCACCGCATTCTGGGTTGGGAGCCAGCTTATTATAAGCGACAACAAGCGATGTAAATGCCAACTGGCAGTGAGAAATAGCCCAAAGGCGACAGACGGCAGGCGGCAGGCGGCAGGCGGCAGGCGCCAGGAGGAAGCGAAAACCAGGTCAAACAGGTGTGTGAGAGGCAGGGCAGGGGGTGTGGAGTACGAAGTGCAAAACTTGCCAATGTATTTAATTTGAAAATGCGACACCGACACTGCGGCGTTGAATGCTTCGTGTAAATTAAATTACACGTGCCACGCCTTCGAAGCTACGCTGGGTATAGGCTGTACCGTCCAACCATCCCAAAACATGGTACATTAAATTTTCATTTGGCCAAAAGTCCCACAAACTTTGGAAACAAGTCACAGCCGCACTCGCAGCCCTAGGCAGCATCAGCAGCAGATACAAATAAAGATACAGATAGAGTCGCCAGAGTGGGGCGTTTTAGAGGTCAGCATACTGCGGGCCTAGAGCAGGGCTCAGGGCTTGGGACCCTGCAGAAGCATCAGCATCGTCACCTGGCTATAGTCCTGGTACTGTTACTTGGTCCTTAGCCTGAATCTCCATCTCCCATCCAAATCCACATCCTGCAGGCGACAAGTAAACACAAACACCAACACTAACACCAAGATAAACAGCAGCCAGCAGCCAACACACAAACACCTACAGGGACCGACAAGTGTCGGGAGAAAGGCATGAGAGAAACTCAAAATCTCATTAGTTACATTTTTGAGAGGACACAGAGGCCTTGGCTTGGGTTAAAGTTTCGGGCGCATTAAGCGGATGCGACAATACGGTTGGGCCAACACTTTCCAGATTCACTTTACCACCGAACGATTCATTATTAAAAGGCAGCACAATCCGTGGCCAACAAAAAGAATTTAAGCCTGACAAAACTTTTATTTCATTCATTTCAAGCGAAGCAAATGTGTGTAGCATTTCATTCATTGTTGTTCACAAAACTATGACTTCTTATACATATGCGAGTGCTCCTCCTAATTTGGATAGGCTTTAATATGTTTTTAGAACGGAATAGCAGCGAGAGAACTCGCACATATGGTATAAGATACAATCAATATGTCTGTGTGTTACAAACAGCTATGCGATGAGAATATACTCGTACCGTACGTGTGCCGTACGACTATCAAGCATCAAAACTTTGTCACCCAGAACTGAACTTAAAAAGAACATTGGGAAAATATTTGTGCATTTATTAAGGATTTTTTAACAGTTCCTCCTACGAGTACATTGTATATGCCTCGGCACGTTCGTGTATATGTATTGTTTGATAAGAGAATGGTATGGTATGGCATGGAATGTTGAATGAGATGGAAGTGTGCCACGCCCCAGGGGTTGGGTATATATCGGTGTTGTCTTTGCCGCTTCTGGTGCTGGTGCTGGTGATGTTGCTGCTTTTACTTCTGGTGTTTGCTGCTGTTGTTCATGTTTTTGTTGGCCATATGGCAGCACTTTAAATGCAAATGAAAGCACTGAGCTGAGCGTTTGTCCTCGGCGTCTGCGTTGACGGCAATGTTGTGCGTCGAGGTCGCCTACCATTTGAGAATTGTGTCCTCCGTCCTGTCCTGCATGAGTGGGAGATTGTGGGCTGTGGTGTGTGTGTGTCTCTGTGTGTTTGTTAAAGGAATTTGCATAAAGCTCTAAACTAGCATGAATATTCGGTTAGGCTTTTTGGCTTGCGGTGCTGGTGGTGGCAGCACACGTGACTGCCTCATGGACTGCACAAGTTTTTTGTATGTCAAGGCACTGCAACTGCAGATACATTCTGCGCACACAGATACTTGTTGAGCCTGTCCTTGTCGTCATCCAAGGAGTGAGACATGCCCACATGCGCCCACCTTGAACACTGCCCCAATGACGGTCTCCTGTAGGTCACCGCTGGCTGACATTTCCAATCAATGCCCGCCATCGACATCCAACTCAACTCAAACAAAAAGTTGAATTTTTTAAGCATTTGTCGTCGAGCCAAACAATTGGGGCGGGGCAGCACCAGAAAGTGGTTCCAGAAAGTGCTCGGAAACTTTTGTTTTGTCATTTGCGTGGGCGTTGGCCAATTCAATTGCCAACTTGCATTCGAACTGAAACACAAACTGAAACTCAAATTCCAACTCAAATAAGCAGCACAGGGGCAAGGGGCGCGCATAGGGCCGAGGCGAGTCGCTAGTCTTGGCCAAGTCAACAAGGGCATTGATATTAAGTAGCCCTGGCCCAGAGCATGGACGATTCATCATCTGTCCACCCTCTGGTTCGTCTTCGGCTTCTGCTACTGCTTCTCCTTCTGCTGCTCTGGTTGTGCTGCAAACTTTGCCAAATGTACTGAAAAAGTTTGTTGGTTTTCGCTTTGGTCATTTCGAAGGAGGCGGTGCTGCTGGGCCAAGATGTAGCCACACCGCCTGGTGGCCATTAATCAAACCAGGCAGCCATCCCGCTACGTGATGTCTGGTCCGGTGCCCATAAATAACCCCCCAACTGCCACGGGGATAGAAAAATCTAAAACTGGCCAGAAAGGATTTATGTAAATAAATACTTTGCATGGGTTACCAATCGGCAGCTTGGTGGCATTCGATACGGCAGCAAATGTGAAAAACCTGTGGGGGGAAGGCCAAGTGGGTGGCGGCAGCCCTGGGAAGACCTTGGCAACACTGAAATTTAGTTTCCGTTGATTAATTTCCGCTCACAGCTCAATCATCACGTCGACAATTTTTCGCATATTTCTCTTCCTTTTTGGATATCATTTACGAGTACAGCTGACAGCTGAAAATCGAACTGGGTACGACAGCGTCGTGGGGTGCGGGGTGGAGATTGGGGTTGTTGGTTGTTGGGTGCTGGCTGCTGGTTGCTGGCTGCTGGTTGGCTGGCCTTCAGGCTATCAGTGCAGCTAGTGACGGTTCGGGGTCAGAATTTAATTTCGGGCCATGTTCGTTAAAAGGTCGGTCACCATGATTTATTTGCCATGCCCGCATTGATTTCCAGTTCAATTTCGATTTCTGGTTTCTGGTTTCTGGTTTTCCTGCTCCCTCGCCACTTGCTTAATGAAATCATTCCGTGACACACCCAACCACACTCACTCACTCCTCCTCGCTCTCTAAATATAATATACATATGTACATATATGATTCCCCTGTCCCATCGATTCCGCTTAATTGTTAAATCGAATCCGCTGCTTGGGCCGAGCGCGACACCACGGCGTATGCGTGATGCGATTATTGATATGTGTTGATTGGAATCGCGTTTGCATTTAAAGTGGATTGGCATTGCCCCCCACACGCAGAACAATGACAGCAAATGGATTAAATATTAGAAGGAGAGGAGACCTCTACCAATCATCAATTTTGGCCGAACAGGAACTGATTTGAGTTCATTTCTGATTTGTCGTCTCTACTCTCAAAATGTATCCCAGGGATACGGCGGGTGTGTGTGCATTTCCTGCTCAAATGTAGCCCAGGGATACGGTGGGTGTGTGTGTGTGTGCATTTTCGCATATCCTTTAAGCTGGCGGCGGCTCTTGTGGGTCTGGTCTGGTCTGGTCTTTTGGGTGCGGTGCTCGCGGGCAAATATGAAATATTTCCGAAACGAATGTGCCATAACAGTTGAGTGAATAAAACATTAACAAATATTTATTTCCATAACTGCTGCCGCTTGCCGTTCGCCTCCCCATCCCCTCTACCCTCCCGGGGGTCTGCTTTTATTTTATTATATTTATTTTCTCGCTTTTTTTTTCCTTTTATTTTCCCTTTTGCAGCAATAGAGCTTGTCCTTGCTGTTGTTTCGGCTCTCCCCCAGCTACGTTTCAGCTACTACTGCGATTACACCAAGCGGCAAATAAATAAAATAACAACAAGTAAAGCAAAGAGTTCGCTCTTTGCCATGCCACCCACACGCTCACAATCGTTTCCACCTTTCGGAGCTGCGGGCCCCGGGGTCAAAGAGCAAACGAAGGCGGCTGCTATTTTGTTGTATTTTTTGCTTGTTTTTTTGGTCACATTCTGTACTCAAAGCGAGTAGCTGCAACTGCTGGCAGGCAACATTCCGCTATACGAGTAGTAAACGTAGACCCACCTCACCTAAGCACCGTCGGACTGGTGCTAATGCAGCATTTAAGGCCAACTCTCGCCACCACACTCGTTGGCTTTTTCTCTCTTTTGACGGGTAAACCACACAACAGAAATGGCAGAAAGCCAAGGCGCTGCCACTCCACTCCCCTATGGCAGACTCTATTCCCCGGTTGCCACTCCCATTGCGCAGCCATTCTCGGGCATTGCTGGCCACGTAAATTGCGTAAAATCCCCGCAGCTGAAGCGCGAAGCCAACGCGTACGTACTCCTCACTAATTGCACATTTTTATCTCAATTATTGCGGCTTACTCGTACTTCTTTCGAGTCTTCCACGATGGTTAGCACGGGGGAATAGCAGTAGCTGGAGAGGAATGGAAAGGAAAGCGCTATACCAACCGCTACGGAATTATGGGCCATGTTGCATATTCTACGCCACTCGAGTGGTTAAAGTGCATTTCATTTTGCCTTTGAAAACCAACAACTTGGTCTAAGTGTATGAAAAATTTTTAGCGGCAATTCATGACAGTCCAGGGAGTATTTATATTCCACGAAAAAAGAAAAATTTTCCAGCAAAGAAAGCGCTTGTGTTGAGTTCATTTTGAGTCTGAAATTTCATCTTCAGGCTGTGTTCAGTTCGCTTTTGGCTAAGAAAGCTGGATGCAAAATAATATGTCTAAAAGCAGGACGACAGCACAGCCAGTTAGATTAGCCAACTCATATCTGCACAGTCTAACAATCGATAATTTCCACTAAATGTCCAAGCTAACGCATATATTTCTCTCGCTCTTACTGCATGCTTTCCGTGTCGCGCTATCTCTGTTCTTGAGACTAGAGCGTAATGGAATTAATATGGGCATTAATAGTCGAACTAACTATAAGATTAATTTGGTTCAGATTTAGAAATTCTACGGGCAAAGCAGGCATTGAGTGAGAGACAGAAATATAAATATAATCTAGTTTGGTTTTGTAGTTGAATCTGTAGCATGCAGTCAGTATTTTGCCTTTGGTATTTTACAGGGCTGTATCGATAACAGCTAACAGATAACGATTGTTATTGTCATACAAGCGTGTGTGTGTTGCCGCAAAATTTATCCGAATTGCAAAGGAAAAAAAAATTGGAGAACTTTAAAACTAAAAACATAACTTGGAACCGGCAGGCCTTTATTTAATGCTAAAGGAACATATTTGTTGCTCGAAAGCTGCGAATGTCTTTTGTGGTTTGATTTGAGAGATGGCCGATGCGGTAAGAAAGCTCTAGCTTGCGCGCATTTTTTTTTTGTATTATTTACATATATGTATATGTGATTTGTGTGCTGGCAGAATTTAAAATACAATATTGATATGATGAATGTATCATCAGAGGACGAATCCAGTGCATTAAATTTGAGCCCAATGAGCTCCCCGCCATTGCGTAGCTTGACCGCCCGATCACGCTTCAGTTCGAGCTTAAGCTTCAACTGCATCACAACACTCGGGCTCTCCAGCTTCCTGACGAGAAGACTCGGCGCACCCGGCAACTCACACCCACTCGTCGATATTTCCCAGGTGGAGGCTGATATAGAACGCAGTATGTTTAAAGCATCTTTAACCTAAACTAAAGCAAGGGACTAATTGTCCTGCCTTTTTTAGTAAATCGCTACTGTTCGGAAGTTGTCTCCAACATTAGCCCTGATACCAGGGGGTCACGAAACTCGACAGCAAGGATGGGCCTCCATAATTGTCGCTGTGGTAACCGCAAGCCAACGCTTCTTATAAGGGTCTGCAATTATAATATTTATATTTTTCCACAGCAGCGCCAGTGGAGGTAATAGATTTGTCGAACGTGCACGATTCACATCCTAGATTTGCAGCGAATCGTGTGCCAGAGGCAGTGATCGACTTGTGTACTCCGAACAGACCAAGTATCCCAATAGAAACAATTGATTTGGATGCCTCTGATATTGTCCCTACTAATCGGCGTCGTAACCATGCTAGCTCCAGTACTCCCACTACAGCTGGTGCTACGTCGGCTGTCGACGACAGCGGTCCATCGAGTCCGAAGCGCAAGCCCGACGCCCAAAACGTGTCTACGGATGATGTCTACAAGTGTCCCGTTTGTTTGGAAAGCGTACGCCAACGAGAGCCATATTCGACCAAATGTGGCCACGTTTTTTGTCGCGAGTGCATCCAAACTGCCATACGCACCACACGCAAATGTCCAATGTGTAACAAGAAATTGAACTTACGCCAGACATCGCGTATTTATTTGTAAGCCTGTATTTTTTAGCTTTAGCTTTTACTTCGTTTTGTTTTTGGATTTTCGGAATCGGACGCAGCTCCGAATTTCTTCCATAATAAATTACACGTTCTGAGCACAGCTGAGCAGATCATAGTAGGCCTGGATGTGCATCTGTTATTTGGCTAATACAATGTCAGTGTGGGGACACAATTCCTGTTCAGTTGTTGGAAAAACTTCAGACAGCAAAGTTGTCAAAAGTGTTCGTGCGGTGAAAAACTAAAATAATTAATTGATTAAAATGAGTGACGATCAGCTAAATTCAGATTTTGGATCGTTTTTGCCAGACGGAGAAGCCGAGTATGGTGTTGTAAGGCGGGAGTTGGAGGAAATTGCTCCTGGTCTGGCTGGCCTTATTGAAGGGAATATAATTGCAGGTTTGTGAAATTGTTGCAGGTTAGACGGATATTTCAAGCATCTTTCTGTGTGTGTTTTAAGCTCCGCCAGGAACTAATGGAAGTAGCGGCCTAACCGATCCTTCGATATTGGCTTATGTGGTACATGGTTCCGAGAACGAGTCCACTGAAGGGGTGACGGAATCTGTGTCGCCGCTTGGTATCAACATTTATGTTGTCAATGAAACCGAAAGTGGCACACCCGTGTCTATGGATATTATAAGTAAGTAAAATGTATATACTCGCAATAAATTGTAACCAAATGATTTTTAATGATTTAGGTGGTCACAGCGCCATTATTAAAACCGGCACCAGAAATGTAATCGTACCGTTGCACGCGGCCCATAGCTCTGATTCGGTTATCGTGAAGATCCATCAGACAACCCCGGCTACTCGTTTGCCCACTACGGCTGACGATTCGGAGTGCCAGTACCGTTGCCCAATATGCTTTCGCGACGTCAAAGAACTAGAGAGTCTGCGGGCCAACCTTTGCGGCCACATATGTTGCGGCTCTTGCCTCAAAACGGCCATGGAAATCCGTCCCCACTGCCCCATTTGTGGCAATCCAGGTGACTTTAGCGAGTCCATAAATTTGCTCTTCTAAGATGGCAAACAGGCGCTTTGTAGCCCCATTTGAATGGTATTGGAGGGACTAGCTTATCATTTAATTTGCTTGTAAAGATACGGCCGATAAAAGCCAACCACTGTTTAATTATTAAATATATATCCTTGTGTCTTGGCACTAATCGTGAGTATATGTCGGAGCTTGTCGCCCGTCAGCTATACTTTTCCAGGCTGCTTCCCTGGACACTTGGAGCGCTTGCCTACAGTACTCTTAGTGCAGCTGGCAGCGTTGCCAATTAAGTAGAGCCAGAGTCAACAAACTCAGTCAGCAGTTTGGGCACCAAAAGAGGGGACAGGCATTATCATCATCATCATCATCATCATCATCGAGGGCAAGGAGGGAACTTCCTAGCCGCATCAGCACAGCTCTGTCTCTCTGGTGAATGGGCGCAAGTGAGTTACTTGTAATTACCACAAAATTCAATATATACACTCGTTGCTGCGGCTCCACCTCCCTCCCCTCCCCAAGCCCCTCTACAGACAGAGAGCTGCCGTCATAGTCAAACATTATTTGGCATAGTCTCGGGCTCGTCCTGGCACTCGTTTTGCCTAACGACCCAACCATCGACTTGCGTCATATCCCTCCCAAAGTTGTCGAAGATGCGACGACCGCACGCACAGCTGCCTCCGCTTTTGGTCCACAGCCGGAGGGTATAGGAGCACCAGGAGTGGCAAGGCGGAGTACAAACACTCCTCCACTCCACACTCCAAATGGCAGCTGTAAAAAATCACAGCATCAGCATAAAAGTGCTTAAAAGCAGCCGCCGTGTCCTGAGAGCATGCCATGTTTTTGCTTTTTGCGCTTCACTTTGCACTGAAATTTCCAGATTTTACTCCCCACCCAACCATCAGACATCAGGCAACAGACATCAGCCATCACCCATCAGCCATCACCCATCACCCATCCTATTCCCCCGCCCCATCGGTGGCTGTAAAAGTTTCGAGCAGTTTTTCTCTTACTGATTTCTATCTACTAAATTTACGTTTCTTGACAGCCTGAAGAGGACGATGCTCCCCCATTGTTGCGAGAAAACTCATTTCATCATCAGGCCTTCGTTCGGTTTTTCTCGTTTTAATGGAATGAATTGGAAAAATAAATTATGAAGCATTTTAATTGCCACAAAAACAGATTCCATACCACCACCAGCCACCACCAGCAGCAACCACTAACAGCTCCGATGGGCTTCTTCAGTTTGAGCTCGTTAATGCGGCAACCTAATTCAATTTTGCATCTTAATCCAATCAGCAAATTGAAGAATAATTGCCACACAGACAGCGGGCCAGAGATAATATTACATTTTGCATTTTAATTGGGATTTACTAATTAAAAAGTTTTTCCTGGTTACACTTTGCATTTGGTCGTAAGGAAAACAATGAGCTTAGCCTATGGGGCTGCGGCTGGGGCTGGGGCTGAGGCTGGGGCTAAGGCTGGTGGGTAAGCTTACATGGCTGGATTAGGCGCCAGTAAACCTTTGTCAAATGTTGGGTGGACTGTTGGCAGCTTATATATCAGATAACTGACCCATAAGCCCTTCAATATTAATTAATACAGTTTCCTTAGGGAATACTTTAATCTTTGAAAGTTTGCCTTTGCATTGCCGCCCACTCATGGGAGTCATTGGCAAAGTTGTTAAGATTCTCGATTCGAATAAAAGCTCAGGGAAAGTTTGAGGAAATGCAAAAATATCTACCAGCAAATAATTAAATTCTTAGCTATCTGATAAACAAAATGTCCACAGAGATGATTTTAAATCAATATGAATTCAAAAGTGGAATGTACATGTATCCTTGCTGAGACAGAGCCTGAAACATGAACATGCAACACATCACCTTCCATTTGTGGGCTCTTTTGAGCGCACACTTTAAGGTTGCATTTGTGCATGATTGCAGTATGTTCGGAACACACACACACACACACCAAACAGCATTCCAAGGATGACTATGAGCCACACATACGTACGGTATAGATCCAAACACCATGCCCGAGAGAGGACTTCTAGTCTGTCTGCATTCAGCATTCAAAGTGCTCAAGCTCAAAGCTCGGCACGCGCCATTAAATTCGTCAATGCAATTTGCACACAGCAATTGACATAATAACAAAAAAAAAAGAGAAAAAAATGAAGCGAATGGCAGAGAGAGAAAAAAAGGGCTAGCGAGACAAATAAATCGAGAATATTGCGCATAAATGTATTTAAAATTACGCATTGCTCATACGCAGCGTATGGCAATATTTCCGCTTGACGGCGCCTTTTGTGTGCAGATGTGTGCTGTCGATGTGTCCGTTGAGCAGAAGCCGGTCCGCGTCGGCCACTTAGTATTCCGTTCACTGACACAACGGCTGACACGTCGTTGCCTAACGGCAAAGGAGCAACATCAATATCGCATAGCAACAGTGGCAGGGGCAGTGGCAGTGGCGGTGGCAGTGGCAGCGGGAGAAGCAGGCAATAGCGGAGAAGGTTCCAAAGGAGCCCTAGGGTCTACGCAGGCCAATTTGCAATTTTATTGATTTTTCATTTTTCGTTTGGGTTTTGGTTTTATATTTTCGGTTTCATTGCCAGCAAAAACTAAAGGCAACACAACACAGAGAAGAGAAAAAGTTGGCCAAAACACGCTGCTGGCCTGGTCATGCCCAATGCCGTGCAAACGCCAGCGATGAGCCAACAATCGCATATACACACACATCACTGTTCAGTGCTGTACCACCCACCCATTGGCATGTCGCGGCCCGGGGCCAGTTAAATAGTCAAAGGACAGCAACGCTGGCGTCAACGAAGGCGTCTCTGCAGCTCTTCAGCGGCGGCAAAACATAAAGTTTTTCCCTTCCAAAATGGGATACGACTATTAAATACCTGTTACTGGTGGGCCCGTAAAGTTAATAAAGAGAGAGAGAGAGCCCTCAGAATGTTGTAATTTCAGGCATACAAGCGTACAAATAGTTGAAATTTGTTTTTGTCGTATGAAGCTGTGGAGGATACGACACTCACTGCTGTCACTGAACACTGCCACAGATTCGTACCCTAGCTGTCTGTGGACCTACATATAGGGTACATATATGGCTATAGCTGTTTTGCCGACTTTTGCCGAGTGGGTGGCCAAAAACAAAAAACAAAAGCAATGGCAAAAAAAGAACACAAGCGTAGAGTAAAAGCAAAAAGCAAAAGCAAGCAAAACAAAATTAGTTTCATAAGTTTTTTATGAGTTCATCGCTTTTTTTTGTGTATGGCCAGCAAACACAAACACAAGCGCATACATAGATACGCACACCCAAACACACACATACATATACAGATAGAGACTGTTACATATACCATCGTACACATAAGCACAAAAGTCGCCTGGCTGACTAACCAGCTTTTGTGCCAAGGGTCGAGCGTTGGGGCGTTTGTCGCGTGGGTGGACGCCTTTCCCAGACGCTTCTCCCCATCGAAATCCAAAACACAACCCCTCTCTCACGTTGCTGCTGCTGTTGCTGTTGCTTTTGCTGTGTTCTGGCACTTCCGCTGTTCCTCTCACTTCCTCACACAAACACACACACTTTTTGAGAAGGAACTTTTAGGCAGGCAAATAATTCACAAAAATACACAAATACATACAATCATACTCGTATATAGCAGGAAGCCAAGTAATATATATTGCGAGTAAATTTCTTTTGTTGTTCGGCTAGACGTTTAGTCGCAGTCAGAGAGAGAAAGAGAGACAGAGAGACAGAGACAAAGACACAGAGAGAGTGAGAGGGACTTGTGTGCGTGTGTGAGTGAAAGAGAGCAAAATGAAAGCAATGGCGACAATTTGTTAAATTGTTATTGTTATTTCTATGTTAAATGCTCTACTGCCCTCACAATGGCCCCACCGCCCCCTAAAACTTGTACCCGTACACCAAACACCACCCAATGTTCATGACCGCCCACTACCCCGCTGCGGGACACACCAACGGCTGCTGCTGCACGTAACGTCGATCTGCATAAATTATGTGAAATTTATAAGGACAACACAAAGGGAACCGAACCGAACCGAACTGAACAGCAGAGGCAATGCCAGTCGCCGTACCCTCTGGCTGCTGGCAAAACTTATTACGCAAAACAAATATTTTACAACAATTTTTACTTTTATTGTTCAGTTTTTGCCATGTTCGGACAATTCCTCGCAGGCAACATGCAAAGGGAATGCATGCAAAGTAGGTATTGTTGGAGAGTTGGGGGGATTTTAATTTAATTTCGACTAATTATGCACATGGAGGAAAGACTACAGGGTAAACAATAGAGAATGCAATAAAGAGAAAGGCTAACACAAAATTGGGAGACATGCCGATAGAGACAGAGAGGAATGTCAATAGTTAAACTCCAGAGAAATATCAAAATGAAATGTAGCAGGATACAAAAAAATTAAGTCAAGAAATAAATGGAGCCAACAATGTAGAATATATAAAAAATAGCAAGAGAAATAAAATCAAGAGCATACATCTTATAAAAGGAAAAATAAATGTGCATTCTTTATTGGAATATAATAGAAGAATCCCTTAAATGTAACATACATCTCCATATGTATGTTTTATGAAGGGTTAGCACACTTGATGGATGCATAAAAGAAGCGAATTTAACCTTTGGTGTAAATAAGGATTTTGAGGCTTTCTTTTGAATATTGTTCCTTTGAATATTTTGTGCCACCACAACCATAATGAATTCTTCCATTAAAACAATGTCGATAACGTTTTGTTTGCATGGTGAATTTGAAAAATGTAAGCCAAACAAAGAGACTACAAAAAACGACTGCAATCAAATTCACGTTCTCAGCGCTTTGCCAATTACAGTAAAGAGCGCATAAATTCGGGGAAAGGGGGACTCTGGCAGCGAGTCATTCCAAATGTCACATTTTTGCACGCCATTCGAGTATGACTGACCATTTCCGCTCACTGCTGTTCCGCCCCACTCTACAGGCAATGGACAAACACTATGCATGTGATGGCAACGAAATTGAGTTCAAGCGAACTGCCAGCCACAATGACGGGTAGGTCAGCCTGGCTCCACCTGAGCCTTGAGATTCATTAACACAACAACAAGAGGAACAGTAAGAGCCCCAATGGCAATAACAGGAACAGCAACGGCAACAGCAACAATGTCCATAAA